CCCCTCCCCCTCTCCCCTCTCATCACCCCCTCCCATCTCCCACTCGCTACTCCTGACGACTGAGGTGTGTGCTGACCGGGAGGTTCTAGCATTCAAATTTCGACAATGGCAGTTGACTGATTAATTGTCAGTGATTTCGGGCGCATCAACTCACAAGTTCATTAGTCCCGCAAGTATAGTGCATGTTTTTCTCCTCCGGTCATAGCTGTGAACACCCGGAGAGATCAGGCGTCGGCCTACCGTCGGATAAGACAAAGAATGGGAAGGAAAGATGGCGCGCGGTCCTTGGCTCGTTTGTTACGGTATTGGTCCGGCATTCGCCTCGTATTGATAGGAGAAATCACGGAAAACTGATGAGAGAATTCGAATGCCAGAATTTTCCTTTCGACACAGTGACTGAACTCGACTTTTCTGACAAGCTAGCGTCGAAAATCCTGCCACCGCTGGAACTCGAACCCGGGACACCTTAGTCAGAGGCACTGCAGTGATCAGTTGTTGCCCTGAACCTCCTGTCCCGATCCGACGGTGGCGGATTTTCGACATAAGGTTTAAAGCCGTGTCGAATTCAGCCACTCTGCGGAGGAGAATTCTAGTGGCCTGCAGCTCTGGTCGGACGTTTTCTGAGGTTTCTACGATCAATCCCGCGTGTACGGCATAGCAGAACCCTAAGCAACGGGGTACGATCTTCTTTCCGTGTTTCATCCTTGCCCCCCTCCTATTCTCTTCGTACGCCCTCCTCGCCTACGTACATGCACTACCCCACTAGTCGGGAGATCAGGAGCTTAGGGCTTGTCCCGGCTGGGGTCCCTCTCTCGGGGGAGATAACTATCTAAAGGATAAAACTCTGCACCAGATTCCACATTCGAGAGGGAAGGCCGCTACCTACCGGCTATATCATGCACTACCTCACGGGACTAATGAAAAAAGTAGTGGATGCGCACGTAAACATTACTCACCCATCCCACACCCGTCCCTTTTGCCTTTGGTACATATGTCAGGCAGAACACATACTAGGAATGCAACCCTCTCGACACTTGTGTGTTTTTGAATGCCTACTCTACAAAATGGGAAAAATCGATCCCTTTTATAGTGTTTTTGAAATATACATAGCGTTCAAAATGTCTCTCCTCAGTAGCATATTGTCCACTTCTCTACATTTTGCGGAAATGGTAACGTTTCAAACTGAATCAGAGCGACAGCCCTATCGCCCTGGACCGTTATGTAACTACAACAAAGAAGCGTGATATGAAACATTAAATGAAATTCAGAAATAACGACACTAAAATAAAGAGCGTGTAATATAAACAGTATATTTTTAACTTTTCATAGCTATTTTATTATGTCATGTTTCAATTTTATACTAGCAGTTTGAAGTACACAACGTTACTTCTTTAAATACTATCGAAATCGTTTCCCTATCAAAGTGTCTTGAGATATGGACAATACGTATACAGGTGTTGGGTCTTTGAAATCTTCTACAATCTAGAGACGAGGTTTCTGCACATTTATCTTCTATGCTCCCCAGAACATGAATTTAGATGTAAGATCAAAATATCTAAGCGGCCCTTTCATAATTATGCGGTTCCGTAAGCATGTAATAGATCCATTAAACTTTTAGCTGTAAGTGCTATGATACCATCTTGCTAGAAATACGCATTCATTATTTCATTTTCTTTCCGCTCTTCAATGGTGGGATTCAAAATGTGTGAATAATATCTGCGTTTATTGTGCCATGGACGAAAATCCAACCTATTGGTGCTCTAGATATGACAATCTATACTCCTTTTTTTTGCTGGCCATACAGTGGCGATTAATAAATTATGTGAGAATTTTACGTATTCCAATGTTTTGAGAGTTTATGTACCCCGAAAGACGAAACCAAGCATCATCTGCAAAAAAACGTGTAGTTCAGAACACCAATGCCTCTGCATACAATGTTCTGAAGCCCTGACAATAATGAACACTTCTCGTGGTCCATGACCTGTAAATCTTAGACAGACGTTACTTTGTAAGGAAACTGTCTTTTTTCTTTTGTTTAAGCAGTATGCAGTGCATCAGTCGTCAGTTTACGCAGACGTCAGTTTACCTCTTTATTGGATTTGTGGTCTTGGGAACATTTTATCAGAGGATTCATGACGTTTTTACTCTGATAAAATAGGAGGTCGACCATGTCAGCCCATCTGCTTCAGAACCTTTTTGTTCAATCGTCTCAATTAACTTGCAATAAATATCATGTGACACTTCGTGGTTGAAATGTTGCCACAAAGATGTACGTGTGCATATTTGCTCGATAAACATTCCCCACCAAATATACACATTCCTTCAGTGTCAGTATTCAATAGTTTTAATTTTACACACTAACTACTGGTACATAGTCAAACTAACCGTGTCACTTAGAAATTAAGAATACCCTAACTTATTTTTTATTCAACCGCGTGCTTGCAACGCGCTTCTGAGAATAAAATTTCGCCGTTTCCTTCTAAAGGGGAGCAGAGAGGGGAAATAGCCCATGCGGAGTGATTTTTTGAACGTTAGGGGTTTAAGGCAGTAAAAAGACAATCATTCCACCCTAGACAGATGAAATCTCCGGGTGTATGTTAATGACTTTATTTTGGTCGAAGCGTGGTTTTCTTCACAAGTAGCCGTACGTGTAAAGTTAAGTTTGACCAAACAGTTATTAAAATTTATGAATACCACGAGGCCTCTTGTGTCTTATCTTTCTACTGCCTAGCGCAATCTTTTAAGGGGACAAGATACCATGTATATCACCCATGTTACATTTGCTATTACTGATGAACCTTTTCTAGAAAACGGTTAACTAGAAAATTATGATATTTCGCACACCTAAAGATAAAGGCTTTTTTATATTTTGACATTTTTTGTTGATTAAAACAAACGGGTGTTTTGTCAATTATAACTATTGATCTATTTTTTTATATAATTTTGGACAAACATTATGTTTTATTCTTTATTATTTAAAAAATGTTTACATAACAATGTCAATTTATAGCCATTACTATAACAAATGTACTCTGTAAATTGTATTAAATTGTAAACTCTTAAACAGTTTCTGAGAAAAGACGACCATATTAATTACAAAATACGACCGTTTTCGGCAAACGCCATTTAAGAAAAGCGTGTACTTGCCACTGCTGTACTAGAATATTCCCCATATTTTGGATCATCTTTTTCAGTGGAAAAGAACAACGTATGAACAAGAATACGTTTCAATAACTCATTAACAACCCAACATGCGTTCAAAATTACGAAACAGTACCTGTACGCATACTTGTATGCAGTGTCAAAAAGGGTGCGTGACTCATGCGTATTAAGACTTTTGAATTGAGAATTGAAGGGAATTCCAGGCGTCCTAGAAAAAAGTGGATATATTTGGAAAGTGCAAGATTTGAACTATTGATTTAGCAACTAAAACAACAACAAACAAAAAAGAAAATAAACGAAAATCGATACTTTGATCCATTTCGTGGTATCTTCCCCTCTTAATGACGGTGTTGTGCGATTGGCGCTTCGTCGCGCAGGCGAGCAAAGCGTTTGTGGGCGCGGCGGGGGCGTGCGCAGGAGGGCGCGGGGCCGGAGCTGCCGGCGGCGGCGGCGCAGAGGCTGCTGCGCTGCGTGGAGGCGGCGGCGCAGGCGCTGCGCAAGGCCGAGTCGCGCTGCAACCTGCTCGACAGCGGCTGCGGCGACGGCGACTGCGGCTCCACGCTGCGCCGGCTCGCCGACGGTGAGGCACGCGACCCCCACAGCGGGAGTCTGTTTAAAGAGGAGCGTTTTGGCAATGCGCTTGAGGTGCAGTCGCTTCTCTCACACTCTATCTCCATCATCTCTCTCCCCCTTTCTCTCCCCCTATATCTCTTTCTCTCCCGTATCTCTTTCTCTCCCGTATCTCTTTCTCTCCCCGTCTCTCTTTCTCTCCCCGTCTCTCTTTCTCTCCCCGTCTCTCTTTCTCTCCCCGTCTCTCTTTCGTTCCCCGTCTCTCTTTCTCTCCCCGTCTCTCTTTCTCTCCCGTCTCTCTTTCTCTCCCGTCTCTCTTTCTCTCCCTGTCTCTCTTTCTCTCCCCGTCTCTTTCTCTTTCCCCCATCTCTCTCTTTCCCCCATCTCTCTCTCTTTCTCACTTTTTCGATCGGCTTTTCTCTCTCTCACTCTCTCTCTCTCTCTCTCTCTCTCTGTATATATTGTAGACATGCATATTGAGAGTGTATGTGGGAATGGTTCTGGCTTGTACGTTTGAATGTGTGAAACGTCTCTGCATGCGAAAAAATATTACCGTGTAAATCGTTACAAGAGCAATATAATGACGTCACTGTTGAGGGCGGAATATTTGGATTAACCAGAATAAGAACACCGCAATGCTTTGAGAAATGAGATCCTACCCTCACCCGCTGGTGTTAGTGTGTTGGGGGGGGGGGCACACACACACCTACACACTGACACCAGCTGGGAAAGACAGTTCCGTGCCGGGTGTGGGTGGCTACCGATGCCACGGAGGCCTGAAGAAGGCGCGGTGGTGGCGGCGCGGGTGCGCAGAGGCGTCAGGGGCGGCGCGGGCGGGCGCGCTGCGCGAGGCGCGGCCGGCGCGGCTGCTGGCGTGGCTGAGCGAGGCGGCGGAGCGCGTCATGGGCGGCACCTCGGGCGCCGTCTACTCGCTGCTGCTGGCGCGCGCCGCCCGCTCCCTGGCGCAGGAGCCCTCGGCGATGGACGCCGACGCCTGGGCGCGCGCCTGGCGGGCCAGCCTCTACGGCCTCGCGCACTACAGCACGGCGCGCCCCGGGGACCGCACGCTGGTACGTACCCTGCACTCCAGTTTACTCTCCAGTAGACGTGCGTGCTCGTGTACAGAGGTGGACAAATTAGTAGACTTAATTTTTTTTCTGGCTTATCGGATTATAATGAGTCCTGAGAAGCACCTGACAAAAGTAAGTAAAGATGTAAGAAAGTAACTAACGATGTAGATGGTAGCCATTTAGAATCTATGTTTTACGAGTAATCCCTGGCGTTTGGGAAACACAGGGTCGCGAATAAGATTGTGCAGTGATTTTAAAGATGTGTCACATTTGTCGCCGCACTGAGGTGCGCTAATTGCTTGAGATAGGAGCACCGCGAAATGAATTTCACCTGAAAGATAGCACAAGGGCACTATGCCGTGGAGCACGAGGGCCACTGCCCAGCGGCCGCACCTACAAAACGTGTTAACTGCATAAGTTCTGGTGGGAAAAAACAAATCACAGTTTTTTATGAGAAATGCCCTGAATTAGTGCTCGCAACGGAGCTGGAAATTTCAAGGACCGATTACGGATTATAGAATTTTGCAGATCAAGTTAGAGGGGGCTATAGCCGTAATGCTTACTCTTGAAGTCATAATTAACTCTCCGGTCGCCCCCTCCTACATATGCCTAATTTTGAAGACGTATGTTAGTCACGGCAAAATAGCGGGTATTCAGAAGAGACTCAAAATTATTCAAGCGAGAACTGATGGTAGAAATCGATCCGCAATTATTACAACCGATCCTATCGTAAGAGTTCTTGAACTAGCGCAGTTCACCACGGAAGACCTGGTAACTTGTACGGTGTGTCAGCCAGGGCGGGAACCAGTTGTGTTTCGGCGGATATCCCACCACGTGAAAATATTGAATGAGTAGGAGACGAAATTGAAAACATACTAAGAACTGTAGAAAGAGGTATGCCAATTATTATCGGTGAGGATACTGATGTCAAATCCCTAGAATGGCAGTGTCAACGTAGACTCTAGTGGTGAATACACTAAAGGGAGTAGAAAAGCCTGCGTCCGATTCAAAGGCTAAAATTTGCCCTAAAACATTGTTTTGAATTTGTTACCTCCAATTTGTTAAGAGTACTTTTCACTGAACCTCTCCGTATTGGACATGTCGTGTTAATGAAGGTGGAGTTATGTATTTAAAAACTTTTAAAGGTGAATGTTTGATGCAACATGTGGAAGCTACGATACAGTGTGCAGGAGCGGATTAACAACTTTGTCTGACCTGTGGGCACGCGAAAATTGCCGGTTTTTTAAGTAACCCTGGGAAAGAAGTTATAAACAAAAACAAGCGTACTTTATGTTCAAAACTGGACACAAATATTTGACTAAAATTAAATATAAGTTAATTAATAATTTATTCGTGTCCAAACATTTCTACGGGAAATAAATTAATTTGTAAATCATTTATTTTAATGTGTAGAAATAGCTAATTCATCAAGTTTTTTTTAGTTAAGCATATTTATTATTCTACCGTTAGTTTACCTTTAGTTCTTAAAATTCCATAGATGACTACACTTAACACCAGAAAACATGAACGAAATAAGATTATCTTTAAACTGATTATCAAAATTACAAGGGATTAATAATTTCTGAAATTTATAAAATGAATAATTTATGTCGATGTATCATGAAGACTGCTTTTCGGGAATTGTTATTAAATCTTAATTGTATCACTTCTGAAAATACAAACACAGCTCATTTTTAGCTATCGCAAGTCATGTAGCTGAAGAAATTATTTGCCTGTTAACACATAAATTGTCGGGAATTAAATCACTTTGTTCAAAAACTCAAAATACAAATTTCAAAAAAGAAAAATCGAATGCGACGAAGAAAAAGCTCTTTAGACACCATTTTAGCCCAAAATGTTTGCCTAAATCCGCCCCTGACGGTGCGTTGTGTGCGGCAGCTGGACGCCCTGGAGCCCGCGTGCAGGGCGTTGGAAGCGGCGCCCAAGAGGGACTGGGAGGACGTGAAGGGCGCGCTGCTCTCCGCGGCCGACGCCGCCGCCAGGGGCTGCGACGCCACCAAGGACATGGAGCCCAGGTACGTGGGGCGGCGACGACGTCGCAAGTCGGTAAGGAAGAGGGAGGAAGTGGAGCCGGACACGAAGGCTCCCTTCCCATCGCTCTCAGCGAAGAGATCAATGCCCCGAGAACGTGGGTCCTGGGAATGCTAGTTCCACCACTACCTCTGACGAGAACGAAACGATACCGTTACCAGGCCTGTTATCGCGGAGCGAAAAGGCAATGGTGGACAACGAATGCTGGAAAAGTCACCGGCTCTCTCGATACCGTTTATCGCTCACGCATTTCTCTCTTAAAGGTATTGTTTATTATATTTTCACTGGAAGGTGTAATCGAACTACGTGTAAAAACTACTATGGCATCTCTGTTAAAAATCGAACTAAAATTCGATTGCACAAGACACATTGCAATACTTATCTCCGGAACATCACTTATCACTTTTAATATTAACGAAATACATAAAAAAATCAAATAAGTCAAAAAATCAAACCTCTGCTTAGTTGTGAAACAGAAGTTGTGCGGGAACAAAAGTTATGTCATTTGAAAAAAATCTGTTTTAAATGATTTTATTATTAAAATTAATTAAAATTCTGTGCTTAATTATTTTCTCCTTCGTAAGATTCGTCGTAGTGCTTCTCACAAGCGAAACACATCGAAATCACGAAACTGCTCATAGAGCACGTCTTCCTCTAGTAGTAAGCCTAAAAATGCGAAAAATGTAGTCATATTGTTTATTGCATCAAATTATTCTCTACAATGTGGGAAACCAGACCAATACCTCTCTCTAAAGCAGGTATCCCATTACAAACGGCCAGCACGGCACGGCTCGGCTAGTGCGTAACTCATTACGAACGAACGGCCCGGCAAGGGTTGCCACTAGTCGCTGAGAGAAGGATAGCTCTTCGGAAACAATAAAAATGGCAATTAGTATTTGCCCATTCTGTTAGGTAATACCAATTACTATTTTTACCATAAAAACGATATTAGAATAATACAGTTAAACATATAACATTTTTAATTTTTTAAATCGCGGTTTTTAAAATGATTGTTTTTTTCAACATAAAAGCATTTAATTCTTTAAAATAATTTATATTATTTTCACGCAAGTTGTAGAACAATTCAGCAAAACAGAATTAAGAACCACAGGATAACAATTATAGAAATATTAGTTCTTTATTATAATGCAATTATTTTTATAAGTAAACACGATGTTTTGGACCAGGGACATGAGACAGTATGTGAGACGTGCGTGCTTGGTAATTTTCATTTCCTGTTTTTAAAAATATTTCACAAAATTAGGTTGGTAAATTATTTTTTTAATTTGAATTTTGTATTCAAATGTTTTTAAAAATATTTTAGAAAGAGTTTTTATTTGAAGAAATGCAACGTGTTAAAAATCAAAATATAAAAATCATATTTCGGAAAGTAGTAGCTGAGGGAACCTACCTATTTTTTAAATTTTCTCTAAATCTGAATTATTATTTAGGAATTTTATTTCGTTTCTTTCTATCTTACTTAGCTAAACGTTTTGTAAAACGAACAATCTTTGAATAGTCAATGAAGTCCGAATATGTTCAATTTACCCATAAATTTATATTGAAATATTTATAACTTTAATTTATTAACTGTCTCTTTAAGAAATGCCAACGCATTGCTGTTCCCAATTCGTAACCTTCTCTCACTTGCTAACTTCTACTTCCTCTCTCTGGGACCATATCAACGGCCCGAGAGGGCCCAAACGATCTGAAGGTCATTCGCATTTACGTCTTGGCTTACTGGCCGTTCGACGCGTAAAATTTTGCGACTGTTTTCAGTGTCTGCGAAACTTCGGTTCGCCGGTTCATCCCTGTGCCGGACCAAGCCGGTCGTTGATAATGAAATTCCTGCTTTATATTTCCAGTAATGAAACCTTCAAAAATATTTAAGATCATTTCACAAAAATCTTGTCAGCAAAGTAAGTTCTCTTAAGCAGCTTCGTCAGTTTTACACAGTTACATATCTAGTGACTTATGTCCCGCACCAGTTTATGTTCCCGTGGGCGTCCGCGATCAATATAATTTTAGCTGCCGCTGCTTTCCAGTTACCCAACGTCGCTGTCCGTTTTCCTCACTCTTGAGGATTGTCAAATTAAACAAGTGCCCTCAAAAAGAAAATATACAAGTTGTTCGAACGTTCTACATGGCTCAACAATCGGCAAACTTTTACCTGCTCCACTTCTGTGAATATTTTGTTCTGTATTCTTGAACCCATAACTAATACCTTTCGCAAAGTTTTACCAATATTCTAATCACTTAAAGTCACTACTAATTGAATATTTAAACAAGAATTTCACTTGAAATCTCACGACATGATCGTCATGTGGCCATCTTTTTCGAACTCTAGTCAGCCTCTCCCTCAACAATTTGCCTCCGTAACAACTCATTATCTTACTCAATTGTTCGTTCCCTTACGAGTTGGTATACTCGTTTTATTTTCATTTCGTAACCCACACACGTGGACGTTTCTCTGCGCACCTCTTCCGCGACATCATCACGCGGGCGGAGAGCTCGCGAGCGAGTGCGGCGATTGTTCCAGGGTGGGGCGCGCGTCCTACGTGGACCGCCAGCGCGTGCAGGACGTGGACGCCGGGGCGTTCGGGGCCGCTGTGTGGATTCGCGCCGTGGTGGAGGAGCTGTGCAAAGACTAGCCGACGCGACGGCATTGCACCGCATTCCTTCAAGTTACCTGTGCACAATGTGGACTCGTTTGGTTTTGAACAGTTGCAACTTGTACGTTGTAATAAGAAGTAAAATGTTGGTGTTCAGATGGCAGGTGATGTCCTACAGGGTAACCAAACGGACTGCATTGCCTGAGAAATTGTGTTATTTGCCAAGATTGTATTTTTGCAACTTTTGGTGTACTGTATAAATATATCGTAATTGTTATTTCTGAAACATTATTAAGAATAAACATAATATATTTTATATTAAGAAATTGGGGATTTTTTATTGTCAATGCCATAAAAATGAGAATGTGAATTTTCTGTTACCTGTAATCTACAGCCCATCTGCATAAAGTCCATGCAATCAAAGCAATACATAGTGAAGATCACAAAGAAAGAAAGAAAGAAAGAAAGAAAGCTAATCCATGACAGTAAGTATTGAATAAATATTACTTCATATTGTTAACATAATCAGCATCTGTAGTTGCGATCGTTAAGACAACGGCTGACTATCCAGAGCTGACCGCAACTTCTGTTTCAGTGGCGTAACTATTTAGGGACTCTCACATTAGTGTTACTTATGATGCAAAAACAAATGTTTCTATACTTTTTTTGGATTCACTCCCTAAATATTTTCAATTGGGTAAAATTACTTACTCAAAAACAAAATTTCATTTCAATAGTCTGATATTAACCCATGCCGACTTGTGCGCGAAATTTGTATGTTAAGAATGATTGATTTTGTTGTGCTAATTCAGTGAAAACCTACTGACACACGTTTAATATATAATTTTATATTACAATTTAATTCATTTTTCAGTCTTTAGACTGCGTTATGGTTTTTACCTTTCTTGTGGATACTTTTTCAGTGTTTCTTCCTTGAAATATGGTTTCAGGGAACGATGTTCTTGAACAACACAACACGAGTTGCTTTGTATTTTTCTACACCATGAATACAAGTTAATACGTTTTTGTGAACAACGCCGATTAGCTCTTGTCAGAATTCTTGCTTTTTCCAAAAATATCATGGACTCACGAACCACAAGTTTAGCACTTGCACCAACTGATACATTTTCTTCCCGTATGTTATAAAACAGAATTTCAAGCACTTGTTTGATGGTAAATTATGCCCAGTTATTAGGTGGTTTATATTATTAATACTAGCGTGTCCAAGCGAGAACTCTCGCGTGTTATTATTCACTCTCTTCTGTATCCTTTCATTTCCATATTAAGAGGGAAATTTGTTAACAAAACATTAATTTGTTTAAAAAATGTAAAAAGGTTTCTTCCAATGTACTTACGGAATATCAAATAAAAATAACAATAAAATTGACGTTTGAAACAAATTGTGATTAATGGATTATTCAGTATTATTCACAGATTATCTTGGAACAATTCATAGCAATTACTTTAAAAAATTTGAAGTTAGTAGACACCCTTGCTTGACAGATTTTCGCTTTTATAAAGGTGGCATAGGTAAGATTTTCTTGGTTAACTGTATTTTCGAAACTTTCAAAAGTTTCAATATTTCGGTGTCCTACAACTGAAGAATTGAAGATAAAGATTTTTCCTACAAGTAAAGTTTGTTCTCCATAGTCAGTTCTTTTCTTAAAGTCGTACACTCGTTTTTAAAAATTTAATTTTCGCGCAATATTGCCAGCAATATATGCAATTTTAAATAATAACAAAAACAAGATTCTCTCAAAAACGACTCCAATTCTTTTCTTTAAACTTTCGGTAGGGATAGTGCTAAATGTACTCTGAGATGATACATCAGTTTGCATTATTTATTTATTTAAAAAAATACAAAATTATTTGATGAAACTATATACCATTTTTAAAGAAGATATTACGAAAATATTTTAGGAATTATTCACGCTATATTTTACGTGACAATTTTTGGTAAATATTATTTTCGTCGCTTTTTTCTGAAATCACGTATACAGGTTGAATACTTTACGAGAAATTGAATGGAGTAAACAAGACTCCAATACAATTAATAGTTTCGGAGATAAACGCGAAAAATGAGGTAGCATATGTTGATTAAAAAAACATTACCACAACATTACGTGACAAATTCGGAAAAAAATAATTTGGTTCTTTCTGAAATCACGTATGTAGGTTGATCACTTAACGAGAAATTGAATGATGCAAACCAGACAAAAATTCGACTAATAGTTCCGGAGATAAACGCGAAATGAATCGGTGTCTTAGTTGAGAAATTGCATGATAAATTTCGAAAAATATTAATTTCGTCGCTTTTTTCTGAAATCACGTATTTTGAAAGAACACGACGAGAAAATGAACAGAACATACCAGACTCCATTGCGAAAAAATACTGTCGGAGATAGACGCGAAATAAAACAGAACATAAGTTGATTAACAAATACTACCTTCCATTACCAGACAAATTTGCCAAGATATATTTTTCGTCACTACTTTCTGAAATTGCTTATATAGGTAGAACGAGAAAGTGTATTATTACGAGAAAGTGAATGGAGGAAACCTGATTCCAATGAGCATGATAGTTACTGAGTTAGACGCGAAACAAAACGGGGCCTAAGTTTATTAACAAATAATACCTCCTCCATTACGTGGCGAATTTGGGGAAATATTATTTGTCACTTTGTTTCTAAATCACGTATATATGTAGAACACTTTACAAGAAATTTAATGGAGCAAACAGGACTCCAACGCGAATAATACTTTCGGTGATAGATGCGAAACAAAACGGATCCTAAGTTGATAGTAAACAACAATCGGGAGGGGGTGACAAATTTGGGAAACTATTAATTTAGCACTGGATCTGTGGTTCGCTTATAGACAAGTTTGCGAATGCTCTTACCAAGTTCACTAATAGTAATCGGCACGCTTGCTCGCCGTCCCTTTTCGCTTTATACTACCGATCATTCTTGAGCCACCAAGTCACCTCAGTTTACGGGACTTGTTCGAAGGATGACCAAGTAAAAATCGGAATTATTTGGAAACAAACAATTTTTCAAGATAAATTCAGTTCTATACTTTGGTTATAGAGGATACAAGAACGTCTGCCCCAATTATAGCACCATTAGTCTGATTTCTGAAATAAAATAAACTAGTGATGTAACAGAATGGCACAGACTTTCTCGAACTAGTTCGTTTCCTTATTTCTTTGCTCTGAAATTTACTGTTACTAGCTAATTTTCTACGCTTCTTACTAGAATGGTCTTTAAATTAGGTGTAGAATGAGACAACGCCTGGATGTGCCTATACTTGTCGAATTTTACAAAATGACGCCAAAGTTTAAACATATTCCACTGAAAATATTATACAAATACTAATTACGCCACAATTAATACTAATTTAAAATTTAAACAATATATTATTTATTTTTCTGCTTGTTAGTGTTATGGAATTCGCTGGTTTAATCATAATGCTGGCTTAGGCATAAAACACAGGTTGCTAATTTTCGACACTTCTTACTAGTAAACTTCAAATTATGTGTAGAGTGAAGCAACGCTTGGATGTGCCTACTCTGGAAAGTGGAAGTTCCAAAAAATGCCGCCAATAGTTATTCATATTCTTCGGGGAAAAAATATTCATATATTAATTACGCAAGAATTTATACTACTTTAAAATTTAAACTAAATAATACTTATTTTTCTGCTTTCCAGTTATATACTTATCAATGGGAAAACAATTAACACTATTTTAAAATTTCAACATTTTTTTTCTGCATGTTAGTTTTCAACACAACATTAATTACACGCACTTTGGAAACATCTTGTGGACGAAAATTAGGGTCTTGCATTAGAATAGGCAGCTAGGGAATTCGTTGACTTACATATGACGCGCATGCATCAAATTTTAACTCAACTTGCTAGTGTTCTATGTTTCTTACGTTTCTTCAAATAAGATGTATAGTGGGGCAACGATAAAACATGCCTACCCCGAAAAGAGCGATTTCCATAAATGGAGCCAATGCATGTACATATTCCACAGAAAACATTATACATACACTAATTACGCGACAATACTGGCTTCAAATTTCAGCAGTATTTTATTTTATTATTCTGCTTATTAGTTTTATATTCAACGTTAATCACACGCGTTTTGGAGACATCTTGTGGTTGGCAATAACATCTTGCGTGTTGGTAGGCACCAGAGGAATAGATGGTTTACGTATAACACGGGTGCATCAAATTTTAACTCAGCTTGCTAGTGTTCAAAAAAATACTCCGAAATGAACTGTATGTAGCATTAAAGCGTGCAATTAGCACTATCTGCTCGATGAAATTGAAGAAAAAATTTGGAGCAGATTTTGAGAAAATGGCGTTTGGGCGTTTCTGAAAATGCGCAATTTTGAGCTAGTTTTGACATAAAACGGTTAAATTTTCTAAAAGCTTTTTCTGACTTTATTTAAAGCACATGTATGTACTCATAAATATAATAATTTGACCAAATTGTCGCTAATGTAAATATTAACGACGTGAGAGCAAATAAAAAATGTAAGTTTTGAAAAAATAAAAGAAAATAGCTGTATGGCGTTTATGCTATCTCATAGAACGCATTTTGCACAATCTCTACCAAACGTTTAAAGAAAAATGTGGAGCTGTTTTTGACAAAATCTATTTTTTTCCTTTCTTTTCTTTATTTATTATGGTCGCATAAACTTCTACGTCATGAGTGACCAAATTGTTTGTACAAAATATTAACCAATATTTAAAGTAATCAAGGATTACAAAATGGTATTAAAAACATATTATATGTAAGTACAAATATTAAAAAATGTTACACAAAAACTATGAACATTTCTTATTACATTAATATGATCTCAATGAAATGGTTTAATTTTCAGATACTTAGTATTTGATTTGATAAGAAACAAAAAATACTACTTGCTATAACATCATATTCCTAGAATATTTGATTGGTATTTTAATTAATATACATCTTAGTTTCCTTTTATTTTTCTGAACATTTTTTTTTAATTTGCATAGGCTACGAGCAACTGTACATTTAATGAAAAATTTCGTATTTGGTATTATTGGAATGTATAAATGAAATTGAGTATTTGTGTCAAAGTAACTTACCCATTGTTAATTCTAATTTGTATATAGTACTTGGTAAACAACCATCATGTATATTAAAAATAAATAACTTCAGTCACTTTTCATGTAATTGAGTTACTAAACATAATTTAAACTGCAAGTAATATTTTTTGTATTGTTCTTTACAATAACAAGAGTAGGTAAAATAAATTATATAATACATACTACCAAGAGGAGAATTCACATGATGTCACATATTTTCATTATATATATGGTTGTCTTGAAGCATCATGTAAGTTAATCAGTTTCTCTACAAAAGAAAAGCACAAAAATTAATCAAAAGCATGTCTACTTCCAGTATTATAAAAAAGTTTATTTACACCAATTCAAGGAGAAAAGCTACTGTACAACCAAGC